AAAGCCAGTTGTGAAAGCCCTTGCTGACAAAGCAGTTTTTTTTTTTTTTTTTTAATTATTTTCTTACCTTTAGTTTGATGTCTAGCTGAAACGGGGCCAAAAAAAAATCGTCTCTTAGCCCAAAAAATTTTTGTGTGCGGACTCTTGACTAGCTCTACGTGCGATCGAAGTTATTTCTGAGTTATTTTCGGGTTAGCCCAAAATTTTTGTGTGCGGACTCCTGACGTAGCTCTATGTGCGACCGAAGTTATTTCTGAATTATTTTCTGATTATTTCTGGGTTATTTTTAATAATACTGAAATTTTTAATAATACTGAAATAACCCATAAATAAATTAAAAATAAAGACCGCGGGTTATTTCTGCGTTATTTTAGGATTAATGAAAATAACCCAGAAATAACCTAAAAATAACTCAAGAATAACATACGCTACACATAGAACTATATCAGGAGTCCGAATAGAAAATGCGCTCTTCTTAGCCGCCCGATCTACTTACCAAAGCCCACCTGTACCAAAAACTATTGTATACATACACCTCATGCAGAGATGCATGCGGTGTCCGATCCTGATCGTAGTACGGTCATTATGCAATCAAAATTTTTTTGAAAAAAAAAAATTAAAGTGGCGCCCACCGAAATACATCATGATAATAGATCACCGTGATTTATGATCAGGATCAGACATTACATGCATCTCTACATGCGATGTATGTATGCAATAATTTTTACACCCGTACGGGTAGGATTGGCAAAAAATCTGCACATATTGCGTGCAGAAATTTTTATACGGGCAAATCCAACATTAATTTTACTTGATCCGTCCGAGTTCTGACCATTGCCATCAGTCGCAAGCCATTCGCCTTTAAGATTTTGCATGTAACAATTTAAAAAACTTCGGGCTTTTCTGAGATTGTTTTTAATTTTTCTCTTAATTTTACAAACATATTTATTTAACATATTTTTATTTCTTAAAATAAATTAACATTTTTTAAATTCTTTAAAATTATTTTTATTATTTTAAAAACAATTATTCTTTATCAAATAGTCAAATATATTTTATTTTTGAATACTTTATTTTCATTTTTTATTCATATGCTAATTTGAAAAAAAATATATTTGATTATTAGAATTAAATATGATTATTTTCAAAAATATTTAAAACACATTTTGATCATTTTTAAAATCATATTAGTTTATTTTTAAAAAAAAAATAAAAATATACAAGAAAATATTAAACAAATGTATTTTTAAAGTGAAAAAAATAATAAAAATATTAATCCCAAACAACCATTTATATGGGCAGCATTCGGACAACAAATAAATTTTGCGGGTGATTAGGGCTGTCAAGACGGCTCGTTGTTCGCGAACAGCTCGTGTTCTACTCGTTCGATAAGTTAATGAGCCGAACATGAATAAATATTTGTTCGTTCGTGTTCGGCTTGTTTTGGCTCGGAATACTACTAATCAATTATATATATATCCTTGATGAGTAGTCTTTTTTAAAAATTTAATTGACTAAAAGACTAAAAAGATTTATAATCAATTAAAAGTATTAAAAAATAAATATAATTAAAATTATTAAATTAGATTCAAATGATGTTTTAAATCTTATACTAATCATTAACATCTAATGACTACGTGATTAGGGTTGTCAAAACGACTCTTTGTTCGTGAACGACTCG